CACATTCAAGAGAGATTTATTTCGTTGTAGACGAGCATTCAAGAGAGCTTTATTTCACTGTAGACGAGCATTCAAGAGAGATTTATTTCACTGTAGACGCGCATTCAAGAGAGATTTATTTCACTGTTGACGCACATTCAAGAGAGATTTATTTCGTTGTAGACGAGCATTCAAGAGAGTTTTATTTCACTGTAGGCGGGCATTCAAGAGATATTTATTTCACTGTAGACGAGCATTCAAGAGAGATTAATTTCACTGTTGACGCACATTCAAGAGAGATTTATTTCGTTGTAGAAGAGCATTCAAGGGAGCTTTATTTCACTGTAGACGAGCATTCAAGAGAGATTTATTTCACTGTAGACGCGCATTCAAGAGAGATTTATTTCACTGTTGACGCACATTCAAGAGAGATTTATTTCGTTGTAGACGAGCATTCAAGAGAGTTTTATTTCACTGTAGGCGGGCATTCAAGAGATATTTATTTCACTGTAGACGAGCATTCAAGAGAGATTAATTTCACTGTTGACGCACATTCAAGAGAGATTTATTTCGTTGTAGAAGAGCATTCAAGGGAGCTTTATTTCACTGTAGACGAGCATTCAAGAGAGATTTATTTCACTGTAGACGAGCATTCAAGAGATATTTATTTCACTGCAGACAAGCATTCAAGAGAGATTTATTTCGTTGTAGACGTGCATTCAAGAGAGGTTTATTTCATTGTAGACGAGAGTTCAAAAGAGATTTAACTCATTAGGACACACATTCAAGAAAGATTTATTTCACTGTAGGCGAGCATTCAAGAGAGATTTATTTAATTGTAGATAAGCATTCAAGAAATATTTATTTCATTATAGACTCGCATTCAAGAGAGATTTATTTCACTGTAGACGCGCATTCAAGAGAAATTTATTTCACTGTAGACCCACATTCAAGAGATATTTATTTCACTGTTGACGCGCATTCAAGAGAGATTTAATTCATTGTAGACGTGCATTCAAGAGAGATTTATTTCATTGTAGACGTGCATTCAAGAGAGATTTATTTGATTAAGAACACGCACTCTGGTCATCCTACAATGTTTGAATAGACGTGATTTTGGTGGCAGTTTAAAAAGACGCATAGCTTTGTCATTCATATAGAGTTTTCAACCGAAGAAGAAAGTCCGGGTTCGAGCCTCAGTTCGGACACGGATTTTTTTCACCCCCTCCTGCCCACCCAGCAGTAATGGGTGCGTGGAAAGGAACTGGCCACCCTACCACCATAATATGCCGAAGGCCCAGTAGTTGTCTCACACTAATAATGCAATCCCCAATGACCGGATCGGATGCGGGAACAACTTTACTTTTTTAATGACGAGGATGAAATGTAATTCTGGCGATCACATGAATGTGAGTAGCCTAATATATATATCGCTCAGGGGCTTAGGAAGAGGAGAATGCATGGTGACATTGGGACGTTTGGGTTCAAAGGGTTAAAGAGTTGATAAACGGAACTATAATATTTCCTCTTATTTAGAACAAGAAGCTGCACACGTTTCAAGTTCATCTTCAAAAATATTCTCAACAAAACAGCAGACAACAAAAGGCAGTGAACCAGTTTGGGAACACACGAGCAGTGCCTACGTCTACACAGCAATGAAGAGGTTAAAGTTAAGTCAAAAGTCAAACCTGTGTTTGTTTAGTTACGTTGGTTCGTGTGAGTGTGTGTGTGTGTGTGTGTGTGTGTGTGTGTGTGTGTGTGTGTGTGTGTG